GAATTCATTTATATACATGATTTCTTTCTTTAATAATTTAAATAGAATAAAAATATTTATGCGTATTTAACGAAAAAATATTACAGAGGTTAGTACCTCTCTTCGATGGAGTTGATAAAGTTGGTAACGAAATAAAAATTGTTTCTTTTCTTTTTTTGTAAATCAATGGTACCAACAAGCAATGCTATAAGGGAAAGAAATTTATTGTAGGTTTGAAAAGTTGTTACCTTTATTGATGCGACTTAAGCGCCATCTGACCGAGTAGATGGACAATTAAAATTGTAGGCGATCTTTTACATTTTAGATTAAATTTTAGGGACCCTAGAGGTCGCCATTGAATACTAAGAGGTAGTAGGTACTATCACAGATTATTACTTGAATGATGGCAATCTAAGAATACCGACATACACGGCGTAATGCTCGACGGATTGTTTTCGCGTCCTCATACGAGCACGATTCTCGAGACAATCGTGCGAGGTTACAGTTACGCTCGACGATGATTCAACTAGCCGGTTTGTTTTACGGTTCGCGACGCGCTATCCTGCTTGAAATTCAGTAATCGTTTTCCGAATGTTTTCATCGTTAGCAACTTAAATTTTACCACGGGGATAAGCGAAATAACATCGGCGATATATAATAATGGCAGCCCATAAGACAGGCGGACAGAGTACACGTAAGAAGATACAGGTATGTATATTGTCTATCCTATCACTCTTTTTCATTTAGCTATATATTTAAAAATTCTTTATTATTTTTCGTACGTTTTTAACTCTTATTCATTTTATCTTATTTCATGGAACATCAGGTTTATGACAATACTTCGTCGGTTGTGATTACTTTTTTATTTTTTTTTTCTTTTTTTTTTTTTTTTTTTTTTTTCTTTTTTTTCCAAGGAATGAGGAAACTATTTTATTCTAAACTTTCGTTAGTATCTAACGAAACATTGATTTTAAAGCATCTTACGTCTTTTCTGAGTATATATCTATATATATATATATATATATATATATATATATATAATGATATATGTATATGTATATATATATAAATATATTTCTTCAAACGAAGATGTATGTACATATTAGACGTGATACACATGATACGTGTAAAGGTCAGCTACCTGTCGAGTTATTTTTTTGTTTCATTTATTTTATTATTACTTTTTAAACCTTCGAAGGTTGTTAGAAGAAATTTTATAATCGATCTGATTATAGGCGACGAAACATTCTGAACGATATGAATAATATTGAAGTAATAAATCTTTTATTAATGTTACATTCATCCTAATGTTTATATCAAATATTGACAACATTGTTTACAGTAGAACCATAAGATACTTTGGTTCAATTATCAAATTATAATCCAACGATCGCCATATTGCTTGTTTGGATGAAATATAAACGCACGGATTTTAAACGGCCAAAATATGGACGTTTATTTTCATTATTATAATTTTACGTTTCTACAATAATAAATAATATAATCAAATATTATGATGTAATCGTTTTATCCTATTAACCTATCAACATAATTATCAAGTTTTCAATGTATAATTGTTTTCTTAATATTATCATATTAAAATATTAGAGATATCATATATATATATATATATATATATATATATATATATATATATATATATATATATATATATATATATATATATTGTATATCAAGTAAAAGTCATAAGTATGAGTATAATAAAAATATTTTATTTTGTATTAATATTTGATAAAGGTATCCATGGTCATAAGGGATGAAGTAGAAAGAAGGCACAGAGCTGGCGTTAATTCTTTACAGTATGATCCAATTTTACATAGACTTTATTCTGCTGGCAGAGATAGCATTATAAGAATATGGAATTGTAAGAACATAAATGAACCTTATATACAGTCTATGGAACATCATACAGATTGGGTCAATGATATTGTCTTATGTTGTAGCGGAAAAACTCGTATGTATTTTATTTTTTATCGATATATTCATATATCGTTTATAGAATATATATATTATGAATATATATATATATATATATATTCAAAATGAAAGTAATAATTTTTTTTCTTTTTTTTTTTTTCTTTATTTTTTTTTTTTTAGTTATATCTGCTAGCTCTGATACCACTGTCAAGGTTTGGAACGCTCATAAAGGATTTTGCATGTCAACATTAAGGACTCATAGGGATTATGTAAAAGCATTGGCATATGCTAAAGACAGAGAATTAGTAGCTAGTGCAGGCTTAGACAAAACAATCTACCTCTGGGATGTAAATACGCTCACAGCTCTCACTGCGAGTAATAATACAGTGACGAGTAAGTGCGTTTAACAAATTATATATATTAATATAGAGCTTGCTTAAAATATAGTAATGTTGTAGCATCAACTTTGTCTGGCAGCAAGGATTCGATATATAGCCTTGCTATGAATGTTACCGGAACAGCTATAGTAAGTGGAAGTACAGAAAAAGTTCTTAGAGTATGGGATCCAAGGTGTTGTACAAAACTTATGAAACTGCGTGGACATACAGACAATATTAAAGCTTTAGTGCTAAATAGAGATGGCACAAAATGTTTATCAGCAAGTTCAGATGGCACAATTAAATTATGGTCACTCGGAGAACAAAGATGTTTACAAACTTATAGAGTACATAACGAAGGTGTCTGGGCATTATTGGTAATTATAATTTTATTTCTTTTAAATGGCTATTTATAAATAAATACTTCTATAATTGTTACAATTGTTTTTTTTTCTTTTTCTTTTTTTTTTTTTTTTTTTTTTTTCCTTAGGCTACAGATACTTTTAGTCATGTAATATCAGGTGGTAGAGATAAGAGAGTTGTAATGACTGAATTAAGCCATCCTGAGAAATCTGTTGTTATATGCGAAGAAAAAGAACCCATACTCAAAATGGCTATGACCCCTGATCAATCTAGTATTTGGGTTGCAACTAGTGAATCTACCATTAATAATTGGGTAATTAAAATTTATTAAATTTATGTAATCTAATAAAATAATTATATTATTGTTAATAGATAATAAGTAATTAACAAAGGAAAATATTTAATTATATTAGTCTATAAGCCAAAGAGATTGGCAAGATATTGGAGATTATTGTGATTCTACTGGAGGAATGGCAGGAAATGTTGGTGTACCATTAAATACAGAACCGAGCCAGAGGATATTAGGAGCACCTGCAATACGACATTGCCATATCTTAAATGATAGGAGATACGTTCTAACAAAAGATACAGATGAAAATGTAGCATTATATGACGTATTAAAAGCCTGTAAAGTCGAAGATTTAGGTCATGTAGATTTTGAACAGGAAATAAAAAAGAGAAATAAAATGGTTTATGTTCCAAATTGGTTTAATGTTGATCTCAAGACTGGGGTTTGTATTATTATTTATTTAGACAAGTATATATATATATATATTTATATACTGACTTGGTCATCAATAAAAGATATGAACAATTTTGAAAAATTATTTTTTTTTTTTTTTTTATAGATGTTGAGCATCCATTTAGGACAAGATGAAAATGATTGTTTTTCTGCATGGGTTTCTGCTAAAGAAGCTGGTCTAACAGATAATAAGGGTCAAGATCAAAAAGGTATTTTTTTTTTTTTTTTTTTTTTTTTTTTACAATAGTATATCATTGTATAAAAATTATATTATTGAAATTCTTTATAGTAAATTATGGAAGTCTACTTTTACAAGCACTACTTGAACACTGGTGGCGACCAATGAATGCAGATGATGATAATGAGGGAAATGGTAATGATGGAAATGGTTCAACGCATGACAATGGTAGAAATTTGTATTTTTCTGTACCTGGTCATACACCTGTAATTTTCAGGTATGTCAAATTATTAAATACATTTAATTTTTCATTGAAAATTAATAATATACTTATAAATTAATTATAAATTTTTAGTGAAGTTGGTGGTAGAACAATGTGTAGGTTACTAGTTCGAGATGCTGCAGGTGAAACAGAAAGTGTATTATTGAATGATACAGTACCATTATGGGTATCTAATATCGTAGCAAATAAAAATCTTCCACAATTCATCAAAATACCTTTTTATTTAACTCCACATGCAAGTTCTGGAGTGAAAAGTCTGAAAAAGTAATGTAAATTTTCTATGTGAAATTACACTGATATATATATATATATATATATAGAGAGAAAGAGAGAGAGAGAGAGAGAGAAATATATCACTAATACATTCATATTCCTCATCTTATTTTTTTTTTTAAAGGGATCGTTTAATTGCAAATGATTTTATACAAATTCGAAAAGTGGCAGAACATATTTTTGATAAAGCACTTTGTGCAGGGAGTGATTCTGGTTTAGTAACTGGCGTTGGTAATTCCGTATCTGGTGGTTCTCCAGCAGGAGATAGAGCAAATACAGATTCTAATGCAGATTCCTCTTCATTAGCTGAGGAAAAAGTTGAAATTTTATGTAATGATCAAGTTCTAGATCCATCTATGGATTTAAGGACTGTAAGTTGGAAATACAAAATATTATATGAAAATTTGAATCCTTAGAATTTCATTTTTAAAGTGTCTTGATATTATTGCAGGTTAGACATTTCATTTGGAAAAGTTCAGCAGATTTAACACTTCATTATCGTCCTGTCAAATAGTTAATGCTGAATACATCAAATTATGGATCCCTGAAGTGTGCCTGGTTTTGTACTGTGGTTAAGTTAGTGACACTGATAATTCTCTATCACAAAATTAAAAAAAAAAGAAAAGTTTAATTTTGATTAATATAAAATAATATATTTTTACAGAATAATGGAAAATACATGGGCTACTTGTAGAGTGCAAAATCACATACCAACTTCACTTTATGAAATATTTAGCCTGTTTTCAATGGATGCTTCATAAAGCAATGAAAACAGAGGCACCTATGGAGTACATAAGATTGAATAAGTTTATAGGCAATAACACGTGGAAGTATTAACAGAAATTGTTGATTTTATATAAATATATGTATATATATATATATATATATATATATATATATATATATATATGTATATATATATATAATTGGTCTATGTCCTGTGGCTGAACTTATTCTTGTGAACAGGAAATGTAAAATTTGGTTGCAAATCATTTGCTTTTGAAATAGTATGCTTTTTGTACCTGGATATATTTATTAGAGAGTAAAATGCTTGTCAGAGTCAGCCAGTTAGTGTCTTCCCATTTGAAGTGTATCACTATAAAATAATAGCAAAAGCACAGTGGAGATCAAGTGCATGGCCCAGGAAATCACTGCTTACTATTGTTCCCTGATAATGATTTTAATACTAAATAAATTTAGTATTACTTTTTAGTAAAATTTAATATAATCGTTAATAAATATAAGAGAAGAGTAATATTTTATTTGAAAAACCTTTAGTAAAATTTTTAGGTATTTATTAAAGGTATACAGAAAAAAAAAGAAAGAAAGAAAGAAAAAAAGAAAAATAAGAAAAGAAAAAAAATTACAAGAGCATGACAATTGTACTCCACACCTGCCTTCATATCTTACGAAATGATTAACATAGTAAGAAAAAAAAAAAGGAAATGTCAATTTACCTTTAATCAAATTATATTTGAACAGCCAAATCATACCAGTTCAATATTTCCTATGTGTAATATGGGAAGTGAACGAACTTATCTGTCTTCAAGATTTCAAGATCAAACTCTGTCTTATATGGGACTTCCAGTTTTAATTAAATTATTAATAATAATAATCTGGCTCTCCTAAAGTGTATACATAATATCATCTGTGTTACATACATGTTTGTTAATTAAGGGATACAAATGTTACAACAGAATTTGATCTTGTGGGGACTACTGTAACTATTAAAATATATATATATATATCTATATATAGATATATATCTATATATATATATATATAGAGATATAAACATTAAGGTACTACAATATAAACGAACTTCTCTTCACGAAAAAAAAGATTTTGCACGTATAACAAGGATTGTGCTATTATAATCGAATTGGTTACTTAATATAAAAATATAGCCAAATGTATATAAAATTTGAAAGATGGGAGTAACTTCATTATGGTAGAGTATAATTTTATGCTGCTACTAAATTATCACTTGAATAGCAAGAAATGCAGTTTAATAGTGGAATAACTTTTTTTCGTGTAGAGTCGATAAAGCAAATTAGAGAAATAACTATCGCGAGAAAGAGAGAGAGAGAGAGAGAGAGAGGAGAGGGTATATATGTACATTCCTAGTTATATTTAACCTGTTTTTATCTTTATATGTCAGCAATATGTATACAAGTACATTTCTTACATAGACCTATATCTTCAATTTTATTGACACGTTATTCTTTTTAATTAGAGATTGTTCATATTATCGCATTATTATCACATCATGCAGAAAAAAATTCAGATGTACCTAAAAAAAAAAAAAAAAAAAAAAAGAAAAAAAAAGAAAAAGAAAACTAGCAGATAAGTAGTAGAAGATATATATTTCAGTGATGAACTGTTACACTGCTTCTCTTTAAAACAACATATCTTCGGTGGATTTGCAATATGTTATATATTTAGATTATGTATCAGTTTTGCATTTATTAGTACATAATTTCAAAATGTATCACCTGAAAGCTTGGTTTCAGGATATATTTATGTACATGACATTACAAATAAGATCATTTAGTTCATTTATTGTTAAAGGCTGTCATCGTTTAAAAAAAAAAAAGAAAAAAAAAGACAGAACAAAAAAGAAATTAATAATTTATCACAGTTTATCAAATTTAAATTAAATAAGAGATTTGAGAAGAATAGAAATATGCATGCAAACCATTAGCAAAAGAATCATATATATATATATATGTATGATTTAATTAAATATATATAATTAAATGTAAGTACAAGAACATTTACATAAGGTGAAATAAGATATTTCCATAATTGCCAGTTTAATACACTTGCTTCTTGAGAATTTGATTTTATTTAAGATTTTCTCTCTTACTCAGGGTGCCACTTCATTCAGTATACATATCTTAATGCCTAAGATCATTAAGAACTAATATCACTTGATCGTTAAAATAGTATTGAAAGATCCGTTCATTTGTAATTTCTTTTTACTTACGAATAATCCTTCCCTATCTTTTCTATTTTCAATAAACAAACATAATGTTTTATTATCAGAATTAAGTATGTTCTAATATTATTGGATAAATTCTTTTAAGTTGCAAAACATACTTTGTGTCTCTCAGGAACTTATACCTTATAATCATTGATTTATTTTATATACATAAAAAATATTGCGAGACCTTGAATAATAATATCAAATTATAATTTTTCTATACATTTCTATCTTAACACACACACACACACACACATATACTCACACACAGGAGGATAATATAATTAAATGTCCATTGTCATAAAATCAAAATCGAAATTTGTAATTGTATATTATAGAAGGTAATGCAAACCCACCAGATATGGAAAGTTGTGACTGCGT